GGATGACAGAGGACGAGATGGTTGGATGGCATCACTGACTCGATGGATGTGGGTTTGGGTGGATTCTGGGAGTTGGTGATGGACAGGGAGGCCTGGTGTGCTGTGGTTCTTGGGGTCACAAAGAGTCAGACACGACTACTGAACTGATACTGATTCTATTAATATTATAACAGTGGCCTCAGAAAACAGCAAAATAATAGTTATAATACCATTTGATTTTCTGGTAGATATTGTGCTAAGTGCTCTGCACACATTATTTCACGTAAAAATTACAACAATCCTCTGACAACAGTAACATTATTCTTCCCATTCTCAGTTCAGTTCAATTCAGTCGCCTAGTCAAGTCCGACTCTTTGCAACCCCATGGACTGCAGCACACCAGGTCCCTTGCCCGTCACCAACTCCCAGAGTTTACTCAAACTCATGTTCATTGAGTCTGTGATGCCATCCAACTGAAAGGTTGTTGCTGAATCATGCAAAGGCGCCAGGGTTCTTGGCCTCCAGAGGAGAAGGATTCAATCCAGGCCAGAGACGAGGCTAGATTGCTCAGAGCTTTTGTGTAATAAAGTTTTATTAAAGTATAAAGGAGATAGAGAAAGCTTCTGACATAGACATCAGAAGGGGGTAGGAAGAGTACCCCCTTGCTAGTGTTAGCAATGGAGTTACATACTCTCCAATGATCCAAAGAATGTCTGGAGGTTGCAAAGACCTCACCAGACCTACTCCCATAATTTACATTTTAAGATAACAGAATTAGCCAGGAGGTTTAATCCAGAGACTGTCCTCAGACAGGATACATTATTGTTATTCAATCTTAAGGAATGTAGAGAAAAAAAGTAAAAAGTTTGTCCTTTCTTCCTCCTTGAGTATTCCAGACCTCTCTCCTTGGGGACCCCTAGACTTCTTATCAACCTGCCTAGGTAAGGACTCTCTCACAACCATCTCATCCCCTGTCGTCCCCTTCTCCTCCCACCTTCAATCTTTACCAGCATCAGGGTCTTTTCAAATGAGTCAGTTCTTCGCATCAGGTGGCCACAGTATTGGAGTTTCAAAGTGGAGTTGTTTTTGCTTTGGCTCCATCTCTTCATTCTTTCTGGAGTTATTTCTCACAGGCACATCTGGGTCAGTCTCTTGTGGGGTCGCTGTTTCCTCCTACAGATGAGGAAATTGAAGTTGAGAGAGATTAAGCAGTTTGAACACGGTAACAAAGCTAGTTAAGTGATGCAATGGGATTCAAACAGGGTTCTGTGACTTCAGAGCCCATCTTTGTAACCACTACATTTTGTATTGTCATTAAATACATACAAGCATCAGCTCGTCTATCTGGAATCAATAATGTGCACTCTGAGAATTTAGCTGAGAAGAGTAAGGAGAACATAAAAGGATGCAACATGTCAAAAGTTTAAGGGCTAAAGTGAAAGTAATACTTTACACAGGAAATATTCTTAAATTCTCCTTCAAGATTCATATACTCTTTCCTTACAGTGTTAACCTGCTTGGTAATCTCAACATCAAGTTTACAAAACAGAAGCAAAGGGAAGGTGATGAAGAGCATCTGTGGATACAGGCATGAGAGCAGACAACCTGAAAATTCATAAAAGTAATAAAAGATAACAGGTTAAAGTATTTCAACTCAAGTTCTAAGGACCTTTGTATTCAGCAAAGGAGCTCTGATCGTCACAAAATTGTAGCATGCTATTATGTTATGCCTCATGTGTAACAAAATTCTTTTGTCATCAGGAAAATGTGTAATTGTGCTCAATGTGTTTCATATTGTGGTAAAGAAAGGCCATTATTCTAAATTTTTTTTTAAAGAATATTTGGTGTTTAGAGCAATAGGCTTTGATTACCTCAAAACCTCAGTGGTAGAAAGAACACCTTAGTTTGTATTGGTGTAGCTGTTACTTTAACTTGCTTCACACAAAGGATGCCTCATTTAGAGCTAAAGAAACTGAGGTGCAAGCACCTGCCTCAGTGTCCAAAAGGAACTCCCCTAAGGGTTCTGAAAAATACAGTTTTACTATACTTCTTTGTTTTGGCAGGTGAGTGGTATAAATGAAAAATAAGAACCCAGATAATTCAGGCATTGGTCTGGGATTTACAACTGTTAGTTTAGAATGCACTCTAAAGGTTTAATTGTTGAGCAGGGCACATAGTTTTTCCTTCTGGCCCACCAGAAATGGAAATTGAATCATGTCAGAAGGGCTAAATATTCACTGTAGAGGAGAAAAAGTAGGAAATGATCACCAGTTAGGAAATTTTCCTGTTTGGTAATTTATGTACTTCCTAAGGTCTCTGGTTCAAATAGGTAAGTGATTAAGATGCAGTGTCCATTACATTATTTTCCTACTGAGCTATGTTATTGTATGTGAATCTGCCTGCAATGCAGGAGACCCAGGTTTGACTTCTGGGTCAGGAAGATCCCCTGGAGAAGGAAATGGCAACCTACTCCAGTATTCTTGCTTCGAGAATCCCATGGACTGAGGAGCCTAGCAGGCTACAGTCCATAGGGTCACAAAGAGTCAGACACAACTGAGTGACTAACACATGTTATTGTAAGCATATGGCTACTAGCTACAGAAACCCTGTCAAGTTCCAAATGGAACAAAAGAGTTCAGCATGAAACAATGCAGAGAGGGTTTCTCATTTAAAGACTTAGAAAAAAAGAAAGAAAAATTAAATAGCAAGAACAAAATCTTGCCTGTCACAGCTGTTTAAACTACCTAGATAGTTCCCCTTTCTCCCAATCTTTCTTTTTTGTAGAAATTAATTAGTGCTTTTAATACATTTTCAATGATCACATGATAATCATTTATTTACATGAAAAGGATATAGTTGGAAATCAAGATTAACAGGAAGAACTGGAATCATATGTTTCAAAAGAATTGAGTATACCACACCTTCTATTAGGTGCTAGAAAAGAAGGCAGAATGCTCACGTTATGTGTAGTAGGGCCGTGTTGTTCAGTCACCAAGTCGTGTCCAACTCCGTGACCCTGTGGACGGCAGCATGTCCCTCACCATCCCCCAGATGTCCTTCACATCTCCCAAGTCCAATGAATTGGTGTGTCATCCAACCATCTCATCCTCTGTCACCCTCTTCTCCTCTGCCGTCAATCTCTCCCAGCAATGTAGTAGGTGACATTTAGTCAAACAGAATCACAATCAGGCATTGTGCATGGGAGCATAAGCTTTAGGAAATAAAAATATTCAGTCTGGAAAAGTGCAAATCAAATATCTTAGATGAAAATGCCCTTTTTAAAAAATAGATTTTTAAAGGAGGATATTTCTGATAAAGATGTGAAGCTTCAACAAAGGAAAATAACTCTTCAGGGTGACTTGCTGACTAAGGACAAAACATGTTTTTTCTGTTTTGACCAGGGAGACGGTGTTAGAGCCGGATCAATGACACAAGCTCCCAGTTTATGAGGTATCAGAGTCACTGTCCAGCTTGAAGATAACAGTTCAAAGAAAATGCTGTGTTATGGGCTATTATGGTCTCATGTCATCTCTTTGGTTATCACTGGAATCCTAAAAGAGATGCTAAAACACTTAAATGTAATCTAAACACTTACAGTTTTTAAAATGCTCACTTTTGGAAAGAGAAAAAATATTCACACTTGGTAATATAATTTTCGCATCATTGGGAGAATTATAACTATAGTTTTTCTGAGGTCTATTCACTCATTAGTGATAAATGACAAGTCTTCTGATCCTCCAGATTATCAACTGTCATAGGAAAACCAAATGCAGAAAAATCTGAATTAACTAGAGAAAAGGGTCATGCTGAGTAACTAACTAATGTAAGTTATTCTCGCCCCACGAAATCTTTACCAAAACTTTTAAGAAGTATCTACTTGAGATGTGCTTCAACTGCTTTTCATGCTGACTTCTGGTATAATCAAAGTTTAAGGAGTTCAAGAGAAAGGAAGGGACTAGTGTTAATGCATAAATTGAATAATCCAAAGCCCCAAATGATCCACAGATAACTGTATTAAGTTTTGTAATTTGTAATAACAATGTCTTGGCTCCAAGAATGATTTTTAATTGGAATACCTTGTGAAATTTTATAACAGAGAGAAAGATTTCAAATATGTTTTGCTTAAAGTAACAATAGCAAGCTAGTCAAACCACTTTGCTTTAACTCTAACATCCCCTTAAACTATAATTTATTACTTAACCAGGTATACAATAAGATGTTTATGTTATGCACTGGTTTTATTTAAAAATTGATTGCTGTCCAAAATAAAAATAAATCAGGCAATTTGCTTACAATCTCATATTTTGAAAATAAGTAAAAATTCTGTGCAAACATACAGAGGGGGAATTTACCATTTTCATTAGAAGAAAAAATTCTGTGGGGAAAATGATAGTAATGACAGAAACAGAGAAATCTCTTGGGTAATGGTCTAAAAGTTTTCCTTCAAAGATTTTAAAATAGAAAAAAAAAAACATGTAATTTTGAAGAAATAAGGTTCTAAGTTAGTAGATTTTTCATTAATTTATCAAAATTCATTCTGCAAAATTACCATCATGGACCGCGCCAATGATAAGTTAAATGACTACGATGTATTATAACAATAATTTTAATATTCTAGCCACTTCATAAGATTGAGCTAAATGTTCTGTCCAAATAAAAGAAATTATAACTGACCAAACCAGTATGATTGATTGCCTTAACCCCAGATTTCTTCTGGGCAGGAAAAAAATTTGTATTGATTATTGAACACTTGAACACAATATATAAAGCACTATTTTCCCCATTTTGGTGTCTAATGAGATACCAAATAATTCTCCAGGTTACTTTACTTGAAAGTCTGCAGTAAGACTACTTGAAGGAAGAAGCAAAAATGCAATATATATTTGCCTTCAACGCTGAATAGGTGATTTGTTGTAGAGATTATAGATGGAAAATCTGTATTTTTCCTCTACTTTTAAAATGAAGTATTACCATCCATCAATACAGTTTATTCCTCATGATCTTACTTTTAATTCAAGTTTTCACTGAGTCAGCTCCATTTGGTGTGGAGACCTTTGTTGCCACAAAGGGTAAGCTGATGGGAGAGGACAGGATTTCTCAATCCCCTCAGCAATGGGCCGTGCCCTTTCGGAGATAAGATGAAAGCTACACTTCATCCCCTGGTCACCAGAGCCTTTATCGTTGGATGATGCAACACAGCTTCCTTGTTCTGTGCCCACATACATCTGGGGCTCCATTCTCCACGATGACTGTTCCAAGGATGCTATACAACAGAAAAAAGACATTTCCATCACTTACAGTGTCCAGCAAACAAGACCCTAACAGTGGTTGGAGAGTAGACCTGAAATATGAGATACAAATAAACCTATTTTCAAGCCATTCTGAACCCAATTTTTAAAAAATTAAAATAGTTTTGGTTAGTTAAGATGATTCAAAGGACTGTGCTACCTGACATTGCTATTTAGCTTTCTCTGTGAACTTTCTCTCTTTCCATTTGGCCCATAAATGACTTGAAAACAGAGCTCGGGTTTTAAATGCAGTTGCATTCCTATTCCCTGACATGGTATTCTACCCTAACCTGCACTAGTTTAGGTCAATGAATAAGTAACTTTGGAGGCACTACTAGTTTAGCTTGTGGTTTAATGGGTTTTCCAGGAGTAGAGAAAGAACTGGTTCAGAGCCAATCTTGAGCTTTTATCTCATTTTCCACTCTACCTCCACACCTCCAATCTCTACATGCTCTTTCATAACAGGTATTAAACACTTATGAGCTGGCTAGACATGATTGGGGATGTGATGACTCATATTGGGAGACAGGTATATGAGTGGCTTATACAGAATGGGTCAAACTGCAACAGAATGAGCAAAAAGAAAGAGTCTGTAACTTATTCCTGAAAATACTCAGCTAACTGAGTCCTCAGTGTTTTCTGGGCTTAACCATACTCTTCCATTTGCAAAATTACATTATACGTACCTCTAAAGAAGATGACTTTCATACCAAAAAATTATTTGCTTTTAGCTCCTCAAGAAAAAGTACTATGTGGAGATATTCCACTACTTTCAAAAATAACAAAACCCTAAGCAACTTTTGAAAATGCCAAATATTTTCATTATCCAGGTTTAACAACACATTTAAAACTACAATAAATATTATATATAGTATATAGTTTATATGTTATTAATATATGTGTATAATACGTAAAATATTGACTGTAGTTTTAATGTTCAATTCTGAAGTATACTTTAGTATCCAGGGCCTTCCTCAAATTAGGAAATAAAGTCACACTGAATCTGGGTTCATGGCAACATGAATGAGAGGGGGGTTTGGAGTGAGTTTTCCAAAACAAGAACCCAGTGTTCTTTCTACAAGGAAGTTCTAGGAGGAGAGAATGGTAATCAGTGCATTTATAAAGGGCAAATATCAGAAAACATAAGTGGGGCTGAAGTGCCTCTCATGAGCAGAGAAACTATTGTCTCAAAGTTTTTTCTGAACTTTCTAAAGGTTTATGATACAAAGTGTATTCAACCTTGTCCTGTGAGTTAGGAAATACGACTATGATATATATCTAAGACCCAAGCCCAAGAAGCTTATCATAATGCTACTCTTGGTAAAAGTATTATGTCAAGTCATATCTAACTCCATTTCTACCTGAAGCAGATTGAACTCCACAACAGCCTGAAAATGTGAGTTGATTTTATGGCCCTTCTTCTAGGGGTATGACTGGGTTTCAGAGATGGCCAGGCATCTGGCTGAGGGCTAGACCCTAATAAGACTTATATAGTCCTCAATCCCTAGGAGAATCCTCAGATCCCTCAATCTCTAGGACAATCCCCAGATCAAGTTAAATTCACAAGAGCCCTTTATTCTAGAACATGAAACACATTTTCTTGGAGTCATTTGCAGTTTCACTGGAACCATACTGACAACAGCCAGTATAGATCATAACCCCAAGGATGACCTCAAACTCCAGTGTAATTCAGAATAAGGAGGCACTCACTGTGTGCTTGCTTAAAGGGATCACAGGCTGCTCTGCGACCAGAGTTTTGAGTGAATGTGGTAACCTCACATAAGACAGGAATCTGGTCCAAATATATTTCTCTAAGCTCTATGGCATTCCAATACAGCCAGTTGCTCACATAGCTTATACAATTTCACTATTGCTTCTGTGCATAGATGAGACTTTCCACCCTCAGGGAAATGTCAAGGTCCAGATAAAGATACTCATTCACCAGGATCCAGGGGGGAAAACTGGCCAATACCTGCTGCCAGGCCTTCCGTGAGGGCCTCGGGTGGACTCCCATTCCCGAGGTTTTGATATTCCTTTACAACCACGAACTGCAGAGAACAAAAGGGAGAGAGAAAACACTGTCAAAATCCATAAATTATCTCAACATACATTAAAGTCTATGGCTTTGTAATGTTCATCCTATAGGAGGGGAAAACCAAAAGGAAGGCCCTATCAACTTTGTTTCTCTGGCTAGTGAAGGGTTCAGTTTTCAGTGAGAAGCCTTATGTTACTCTCTGTTAAAGCAACTAGGCACTACTAATACCTTTATTGAAGAATCTATTCTAACTCTGGAATCCCAACTTTTGGGCCATGGATCCCTCTAGGGACTACTTTTTCCCATAAGCAACCCGTGAATCTACAAGAGGTCTAAGGGTTGCCCATAGACCAGATCAATAATGCCTCTTACATGTTTCTGCTCCAACTTTCCAAATATGTGTGTAGGTGCTTAGTTAATAAAATTCACCTAAATATACTAAGGTTTGAATAATTTGGGCTCATTAGTGACTAATAAGAACTCATAAATGCAGCTACTATTTTTCAGGGATCCATGAAATGTCTTCTCATGCTTGAACAGCTTGGGAACCAAAATTCTAAAAGACCGCTCCAGAAAACAACATTATTTCTCTTTGGTCAACAGAATTATCATTTATGTCATTGTTTGTACTGTCCACATTTGATTGGGACTTGCAACGCAGGCTGACCAGAATTAATTGGCTCACATTCACAAGAGATGAATCAACCTGCAATGCAGGAGACCCCAGTCCAGTTCCTGGGTCAGGAAGAGCCACTGGAGAAGGAATAGGCTCCCCGCTCCAGTATACTTGGGCTTTCCTGGTGGCTCAGATGGTAAAGAATCCGCCTGCAATGCAGAAGACCTGGGTTTGATCCCTGGGTTGGGAAGATCCCTTGGAGAAGGGAACAGCTACCCACTCCAGTATTCTGGCCTGGAGAATTCCATGGACCATATTGTCAATGGAGTTGCAAAGAGTCAGACACGACTGAGTGACTTTCACTTTCACAGAAGATAGATTAGAGATTAAAGTATTAATAGGTCAAAGATAAAAGGAAAGAAAAGAAGTTACCCCATGCCCCAGGATGAAGGATGCAGTTTGGTCAAGTCCTTTCTTGCCAATCAGTAACCCAGCAAAGAGGATGCCCCTAAGTCTCTGGTTGATTATGCTCCATTGGTTCAGAAATGGGCCCTCTACATAATGAGCCCATAACTCAGAAATGCAGTGAAGAAAAGAAAAAAAAGTTTCCTTGATCATATTTCTTTTTTAGAAAAGTATAGGAAGAATAATGAATGGTTGATTAGGGGAAAAAATGTTGCTGAGAGAATGGTGAATCCCCTGAACACATTTTCATCTTCTTATTTTCCACAACACTAGGCATCCTTGCCATCTCCTCCTCATCAATAGTCTCCTGCAGTAACACAATGCAAAATTAATACATGACCCACTGTTTAAGGGCACATGCCCATTTTTCTCACTGGAGAAAGGAATGGCAAACCACTCCAGTATTCTTGCCATGAGAACCCCATTAACAGTGCAGCAAGGCAAAAAGATATGACACCAGAAGATGAGCCCCCCAGGTCAGGAAGTGTCCAATATGCTACTGGGGAAGAGCGGAGAAATGAATGAATGAAGAGGCTGGGCCAAAGCAGAACTGACACCCGGTTGTCTGGCTCAAGCCAGACTTCAGCCCTCTGCACTGCAGATTTTCCAGCCACATGTCTCTCTGCTAGAAGAACACAGGTTCCAGGATTCTGGCCTGGGTTGGGGAAGGCAGCTGATGGAACCAAATTTGTTTCTGCTGCTTCTCCTCCTCCTTCAGGTGCTCCCTCCCATGCTCACTGATGCCAGCAGCAGCAATTGGTATCAAGATGGTTCTGACCACTGGGGGTCAGCCTCTCACCATGGCCCTGTGTCCGAATGCTGCTCACAGCAGCAAGTGTCTCTGAGTTTTTAAATAAGAAGATACGATGAAGTCGAAGGAACTGCTTAGCTGAGCTATGGCATGAGACAAGTGCTCGGGCCTGGTGCACTGGGAAGACCCAGAGGGAAGGGGTGGGGAGGGAGGCGGAAGGGGGGACCGGGATGGGAAATACATGTAAATCCATGGCTGATCCATGTCAATGTATGGCAAAAACCACTACAATATTGTAAAGTAATTAGCCTCCAACTAATAAAAATAAATGGAAAAAAAAAAAGAAAAGAAAAAAGAAATCAGCTATTGTCATTGTAGCCATGTTCCTTGGAAAAAAAAATAAAAAGAAGATACACACAGATTGCATTTTTCCTTCTCTCCTATGATTTAAATAAAATGAACTAAACTTGCTACCTAAAACCTGAAGGAAGTACCGTACAGACTAACAATGAAATCAGGGTAATTAAGGATTCCATGAGTCATGAAGCTTCAAAGATCTGAGGACATTTCTGTAACTAGGTTCACTCAGAACCACACATTTAGGGAATCACTAGAAACAGAAGGGGCCTTACAGACCATGTAATCCAAACGCCTTGGAGTCCTGATGAGGAAACAGGGGTTAAGTGACTTGCTGAAAATTAGCCAATTGGTAGAAGAGTAAAGTCAGAATTCTCATTTCTTATTGCATTTCTGTACTCAAGTTCAACCAAAAAATAAGTACACACTCAATGCCTACAATGGGCAGAGACAGACGGTTGCTTGTCAGTCAAAAGCACAGCCACAGGAAAGCTACTCTCTGAAATGCATATGGGGGTAGAGGCAGGAAGAGGCGATATGGGAAGGACTCCAAGTGATGCCCTTGGCCCTCCAAACCCCCTTAATAAGCTTTTCTCTATGTGCCCACAGGTTTCACTTCCCCATGGGCCTGCCATATCCAGCTTCTTCCACAATACATACCACAAATGATACCAACAACACACACTGAACCAGTCAAGGTGTCTCTGGCAGGATCCTGGAAATGGAAATCCCAACCATTGCAAGAGATCTTGTCCCATCTCTGCCCTCTAGTGTTCTAAGATCAGTGACTGAAGAGGACGATCTATGAAGCATTTTGAACTTTGCAGTTACTATGCTTTTTGGAAAACATACAGGATTATCAGACAAAATACATGATACCTAGGAATATTTGAATTTAAAATTGAACTTTCAGTATTAGTACGAATTTAACTAGGTGTTCTGTATTTTTATTTGCTAAAGCTGGCAAACTCTTTTGCTGCTGAAGTTTAAGGACTGAAAATATGTGTAAGAAAAGAAGTTTTAAGAAAATTAGGAGCATAATCTTCAGTTTGTAAGACATCCATCTGAAAGGGATCACCTAAAAATTGGGAAAGACTTTTCACAAACACATAAAAAGCTAAGTTATAGCAAGAAAGTACATGATAGAGAAAAGGATCCCATAAATATCTTGTGCCATTACATTATGGCACTAGTTTAGCTTGTCTGATTAATTTAGGACACAGTTCCCCCAGCCCCACTGCCTACCCAGGACCTCCCAGTTGTTGTGGTGTTGGGTAATATTAACACCAGCTGGAAGTTATAATGGGTTCCAGTCTCTCTCAACTCAGCAAAGAATGAGAAAAAATGAACTGGGGTTAATATAAAGCCAATTTCTTGCTTCATGTACTTTGGTTACATTACCCAAGGTTGGGGGCAAGAAGGCATCCCAGCCTCGCCATCTGCAGGCCTGCTACGGATCCCATCTCCGCTCAGTTCTTCACAAGGATTCTTTGGGTTTTTCAATAGCCACTTCTGAGTCCTGCAATAAAGCCAAAATGTGAGACGATCTCAAAACAAAACACTAGCCCATTCAGCGATGGTCAGACAATTACTTTTGTTACTGAAATTTAGGTACCTAAGATGCATGAGAAAAGAGAATTATTAAGGAAACTAGGAGCATAACTTCAGGTTTTAAAGCCTTCTTTCCTGCATTATTTTACAGATTATGTTTCACTATTTCCAAGGTACTGTGAGAAGGGAGGAGGAGGGCATGGGAGGCAGGGGAAGTCATGCATGCATTCATGGATATATCGACTAACTATATCCTAGGCCTTGCCCTAGTACTGGAGACATAGCAATGGAAAAACAACAAAATCTCTGCTTAAATGGACTTTGAATTTGTAGAGAGGGGAGTGCCTATTTTAGAAACACTATCACAGCAATTGTGTGACACACACACTATTAACTCCATTTTACAACTGAAGCCAGTGTGATTGGAAGATAGTAGTGATGTACCCAAGGCACAAGGGCAGCCCAGGGGCTGGGTCACAGTGATGGGCCAACTACAGATTGGCACGTGCCGACTACCTCTATAAGGATTAAGTCACGAGCTGCTGAAGCTGCTGACTTTCAACACCCCCTGAAAGGAGTTCAGGGTGAAGAGCAGAAGTGAAGCACTCTGTGCTCTGGGAAAATCTGGCAGGACACATCTTCAGAGAGTTAAAAATTTTTTCAGGAAAAGATTTTATGAACCAAATTCTTGCATCTCCTTGTACCTAGAAAAATACTAAAGTTCTTCATGGTGATGTTTGCTCCTCATGACTAGCAATAACCTTCTGCAAAAAATAGGTGCTTGATCACACGTACTCCCCCCGCCTTCACCAAAATCACATATATTCTGACGTTCCCCCCTACCTCTCTGAGCAGTTTCTCAGAGCTATCTGAACTGCTGTCTCCTGAGCTGTAGTCTTCATTTTGCTCCAGATAAAACTCAACTCATAACTCTCCTCTTGTGCTTTGCTTTGTTTTGCTTTCAATCACCAGATATAAAGCCTAGGCTCCATCCAGGTCTATGCTAGGCATGGTGTCATGCCCTAGGGGAGGGGGTAAAAGGAAAGGAGATCTAACAGGGACCCCTGTCCTCAGAGCCCACCCTCAAGAGGGAGAGAGACAGGTACATCACATCTGAGCAGCCACCTAAGGGAAGGCAATGAAGGAATGGTGGTGGGGAAGACTCCAGCCAGCCTCGAGATTCCCAAACAGCACTACTACCTCAAGGCAGATGGCAGCTCAGTTCCCTCTGGGAGTGCAACCCTCAGCCACACAGGCCTGTCTGCCCATCTGAAAGTGAAAGGTGTTCAGTCGTGTCCAGCTCTTGGCGACCCCATGGACTTTAGAGTCCAGGCAATTCTCCAGGCCAGAGTACTGGAGTGGGGAGCCTTTCCCTTCTCCAGGGGATCTTCCCGTCTGCCCATCTGAGGAAGGGCAATAGGAAGATAGGGGCTGCTCTGGAAGCCCATCCCAGGAGCTGTGAATTCCATGTAACAGATGGAACCCACTGGGAAATGGTGTGGGTTATTATTTTTAGCCAAAGGCATCAAGGAGAACAACTGAAATGATTAATATAAACAGTTCCAAAGTTTCAAGGTATAGTTTGTGGAACATACTACTTCCTGTTGATTTTCTTACAAAGCAGGCCTTTCAAGAAATCAAGTTTCATGAAGTAATTACATTACCATACTTTAAAAAATTATTTAGTTTCACAAATAGCCTTTTCAGAGATACACAAAACAAATAGTGTTTGGACAGTTAATCTAAATAAGACAGGCAAGACTGATACAAAGGGAGGAATAACTGATTTTATCTCTTTAAAGAAAATTGCTTAACACACCTAACTGACAAACTCAGTGCTGAAGTTATATTTACTGGTATACATCAGTGATGTGGCAATATTTAAGTTGGCAACTTTAATTTGATCCCAAGAGAATCTTACTATGCTATAGTCCACAGAATAAGAAAAAAAAACTTAATAATTATAGTACATGTGGACTTAAGTTTCTTCCTTCCATTTTTTTTTTTTTACCAGTATTTGCCAAACATCTGCTTTTCTTTTGACACTCTAATGGATGAACAGCTGATTATTCAGTATTCTGTCTACAAACATCCAACATATTGATTGAACACTAGGCTAAAAAGTACAAAGTTTACTGACGGATCACTGAATTAAAATGTCAAATTTTTGCCCATGAATCCTGTGTCTCAAGATAGAAAAGGGTTTGGAATGTGGGACTCCTTGGGGAAGCTTACTGTTCTTGGAAAATCATAACAATAAGAACAGAAAGCATTTATTAAGCCCTAAATTAGCCAGACAAGCTACAATAGTGCATAAAATGCTTTTCAATATTGAGGATAGTGGATGACGCTGGCCTACTTTTTAAGAAAGTGGAAAATAAGCAAACAATGTGATGCCCAATGTAATGGGTTGGTTTCTTTTGTTTTTTTGTAATAAATATGTAAATACTATTATTCCACAGTTCTAAGCTTTTAATTGGAAATGATTAAAAACACAAACTCCAAGAACCAGAAACTTCCTTCCAATTTAGGGAAGATACTGATTTTCTTGAACAGAAGTTAATATTTTGTGGGAAATCAACTCAATGGATAGGAATTATGAAAAATTATAGTTATGCAGGCTGGGGATGGGGTAAGGGGAAGCCTGTGATGCTAAAAGAAAAAGGTGGAACATAAAAATGCATGCTGTTAAATAACCACCCAGTAAACCACATCGGTCTGTGGACAAAGACTGGAAAGGAACAATAAATCCACTGATGTTTTAGAGCAGCGAACCGCTGGGTCATTTTTGTTTTATTTTATTTTATTTTTACTGTTCTTCCAGTTTTTAAGTGAAATAAGTACGTAGAAGAAGCTCATGTGCAAGAGGCCCTGGGAGGAGCTCGAAGGAGGCAGAAAGTTCCAGTGGAAGCAAAATCACCTGTGGCAGTAAGCTCCGCACAGCCCCAGGAGCAGCAGGAAAGCCAGCACCACACGCAGACAGCCCCCGAGCTGACGCTCCGCTGCTGCCCACGGCCGACATGGTGCAGATCCCACCCACCGCAGGCTGTGTACTCACATCGCTTGCCGGTATAGCCTACGGGACAGCTGTGACAAACACAAACAGAAGTCAGCAGTGAGCCATGGCCAAAAATGCTCTTATTTTTGTACTCACTATCCAGTCATCTCTCAGCCTCTACACTTCAGCCTCATATTTTGGGAAGAATATGGAAAATCCATATTCAGGAGTCAGTTGCTGCTGTGTTCATCACTCAGCTGTGTCTCACTCTTGCAACCCCACGGACTGTAGCCCACCAGGCTCCTCTGTCCATGGGATGTTCCAGGCAAGAGTACTAGAATGGGTTGCCATTTCCTTCTTCAGGGGATCTGCCTGACCCAAGGATCGAACCATGTCTCCTGCACTGGCAGGCGGTTTCTTAACCACTGAGACACAAGGGAAGCCAAACGGGTCAGTTGAAAGCACTCTTATTTACAAGTTAATGCAGCATAGACTTCCCCATTGGTCTGTAGGCCCTGGGATTGATTTGCGGTTATTTGCATACCACCTCTACAAGGCACTGCAGAACACTGATTAAAGATCAATTTCTGTTAAAAGAACAACTGCCTCTCTCTAAGACTAACACAAAGCAACCCTGCCCTAGGAGCAAAGGGAGTTTTCAAACAAATGTTTGGCCAGATTGCAATCAATATAAGTCAAAGGAAGGAAGAATTTGAAAGCAGAGTCTTTTACTTGAGACCAGGTTATAAAAGAATGTGAGTAGCCTCTGAACAGGAAGCAGAGGAAATCATTTTTCTTACTTTTTTCCTTAAAAGTCATAGATCCAAAAGGTCTCAGTGGTAACAAGAAGCACTTACTTGCTTCAAGGGAGAAAAACTTAAGTGCAGGGAAAAGAGGCATTCACCAACATCCTGCTGTTCATTAGTGAAATTGTTACTGGATTATTGTTGCTCGTATGGGGCTTCCCTGGTGCTCAGACAGTAGGTAAAGTATCTGCCTACAATGGAGACCTGGGTTCGATCCCTGGATTGGGAAGATGCCTTGAAGAAGGGAATGGCTGCCTACTCCAGTATTCTTGCCTGGGGAATCCCATGGACAGAGAAGACTGGCAGGCTACAGTCCATGGGGTCTCAAGAAGTCCAAGATACAAGACGGGACAGAGTGACTAACGCTATCAGCAACCAACACATGCTGTGAACTTTTATGTGGAAGTAAATGAAGCAATGCTGCCATCTACTGGGAATGCATGCTTCCAGAAACTCTCAGGATCTTGAGTAGAATTAATTATTCTTTGAAAGGGCATAAACTTTAAAAATAGTCTATTAAACATTCTGTGATGCTCACTTGTTAGGCATTGCTTCCCCTTGGCCCTGGATCCACTAACTATATACACATGGCCCCATTTTATTCCAGAAGGAGATGAAGGAATGAATACGCAGAGTACTGACATCAGTCCCCATGATGCGAAGAGGCAGCAAGGGACAAGCTTTAGATGAATCATGCATCTACTGCATGGATGAAGCCCCAGAAGAGATCCCAAGTCTAGTCCTAGCTGTACCTTGAATTAGTCACAGGAGCTTTGGCAAGTCACTTTCAGAGACAGAAAGGGAAAGGAACTAGCTTTTATTATACACTTTATGTTTCCGATACTGGGATAGTTAGATAGCATCACCGACTCAAGGGGCATGAATTTGAGCAAACTCCAGGAGATAGTGTAGGACAGGGGAGCCTGGTGTGCTACAGTCCACGGGGTTGCAAAGAGTCAGACACGACTTGGCAACTGGACACTGGGCACTTTTGTTTTGTTCTCAATAGTAGATTTCCATTTTACAGATGAGGAAAGTAAGATGCAGAGGAGTTACATAATTTGTACCAG